CTAAGGCCTCAGCAGGAGAAAAATAGATCGGGGTCCTAATAATATTATGGGATATATGTGTGGTTTCAATTGTCGTATGGCCACATTTGTACTGAGTCAGGGGCGACTGGTGGAGTTACAAATGCGGGATGACCGGGATCGAGCAACAGGCATGGCTGCAAAGCTGTTGCCACATGGAGCAGTTGAAAATATGGTTGGATTATTTAATACATAATTTCATATATAATGATGGTCCCAAAAATGAAATTATAATATCTTCCAACCCTCAAATTTCTATTGCTCATAGCATAGTTTTAGTGCTTCGTAAGTGCAGAACTTGCAATATTGATGCCATGACCTGCCATGTTTAGTCATCGCCTTGTAGAAACAAGCAAAATGCTCAAGGCAAGCGAGCGATTCTCACCTCAGACCTGTGAAAATGATTTCAGGTGGTTTCCAAGAGATATGGGTATATATGGGGTACTTACTTTTGATGGACGTTCACTTTTGATGGACGTTATCAACTTTAGATGGCTGTTCTCCAAGTACCCCCCTAGCAGGGCTTTTGATGCACTAGGTATATATATATTGATACATATATATATATATATACATATATATATATATTTGGGAGTGACAAACATCCATTTACCAGTTGCAGGCGTACGGGGTGAACTGACCGATCCTTATATGGTGAGTAAACCAATGAACACTTGGTGATGTCAACCTGCCAAAATGGGGTGATCATCCAAATTTGATGCTTGGTTGATGGTTGGTGATTGGTCCGAAAAAAGAAGCAACATAAAGTGTATCATCATAGATGATAGTCATGAGAATGTAGCCCATGATTGATTAGTGGTACTACTGTGGATGGTTGCGAAATCCTGCATCACCTTGGATGGTGCAACCCTATAAATAGTGGGATAAACCATAGATCAATAAATAACTATTGGTATATAACTATTGGTAACTATAGTTGGTAACTATTGATAACTATAAAAAATAATGGGATTTTCTAGTGGGATAAACCATCTATCAACTGGGGCTTTCCGATTTCGCAACGGGGGATTGATCCTTCAAGAATGGGGCTGCAACTGACGCGGGCTGGCCATTGATAGCCATCCATCCAAGATGGGAAACCCGGGCGAGCTGGTCACCTGGACATGCTTTAGAGGATCCAATGATGATAACAACGATAATGAGGATCATGGCAATACATGATTTGTATATGATATGTATATGCTTAGGAAATAAAATCGGACTTTTGTAACTCCCAATCCGACCATGTTGGCAATGAACATGTTTTTTTCCGTTCAAAGGCCAGGACATTGTATGGCTTGTTGCAATATGGCTTTACTTGGAGCAGTTGGGATTAAATAATGGGTATGGCTGTGGTAACAAGCTTCATACGTTGGGATGTCAGCCCACTGGAACTGTTTGACCTGCCTTTGTAGGTCAAACACAAGGTACCTTGGTGAGCAGCAGCTATATTTAGGTGGATTCATCCCCCTAAAAAAATGGTCTCATGACGTCTCATGGGTCATAGGTATTGATCCTGGTAAACTTGACCCACATCTGGGACTGTTTGTGCAAAGCTGTGTGTTTGTCATGGAAATGATGAGAAACTGGGTATGTGATATGGTATATATATATATAATTACTATATAATATATCATACATACTATAAATTTGTTTAAACCAAATGATATACTAAGTTTACTCAGTGTTCTTAGTCAACATGTTGATGCTCGATCCTTTAAAGTAAAGTAATGTCATTGCTACTGCAATCTTCATGGCATGATGATACATGACAATACATATATATATATACACATGCATGTACACTATTTTATTGTGGTTTACATTTGCGGAATATCATAAACATTACAACCTTAACAGTTTATTATTGCTCAATCTTAGTTGTCCAATATTAATTGTGGTAAGTGAACAAAATTATTATACACACAGATATATTCATATATGTATATTAATGATAATATATATATATATATACACCTGTGTATATATATATATATATTATTGGACTGATTGGACAACAAATCGTTGCCCGACAGCCGGCGTGATCGCCGCAGATAGTGATCTCGGTGGACACCAGCAAGCCCGTTTGTGACAGCACGTTGCCGACGCCTCCGGTGACGGGTTCCTGGGTGAGGTCGTCTGGAAAATCAGTGGGTTTTTGCTATGAAGTACCCCAGGGCCGTAGGGCGAACATGGGCGAACCAAGATAGATCTGGAAACAAACATACATCAATTTGTAGATATTTTCCAATGAGAAACCATGGGTTTTCCACATCTATGTTTGTTCTATGGTAGGTTTGAGATAATCGCTGGGGGGGGTTGAAATCGCGGGTTTGAGTTGGAATGGGTACCCCAATGTTGTTTCCATTTTAACGAAGAAAATGAACTTCTTGGGATATCCAGTGGGAGAAAATGGGATATCTTTGGGTCTTTTGAGATAGTAAGAAGAGCTAGATCATGGAGCAAAAAACGGGCCAAAAAACGCACCAAACATGAGCCTGTTCCATGACCTGTTAAAAATGGTGACGTCGATACCCCACAAAACTTGGTGCCTGTTGAAGTTTATTACCCGGCCTGGTAATTTGTTACAGTTTGCGACATAGAACATTGCCCAGTCGAAATAGTTGAATTACCCATTAAAAATGGATAAACATGGTGATTTTCCATAGCTATGTTAGTTTACCAGAGGGTAAGGTTGGTATGAGGATAGTTGTAGCTGCCTACTACCAATGTACTCAATGTACATGCTTTGGCGGTACAACTTCGGGACATCTTGCAGAAATCAGTCCCTCGACATGAGGGTCTCATTATAGTGTTCCATGGCAATTTTTTATATGATTAGTCACTACACATGATGTTCCTGCAAAGTGGGGCCCCCTAGGCCCTAGATAGCTAAGTTGGTTTATAACTCCAATAACTATGGTTTATGGTACTTATAACTATAGTTATTGGGGCTTATAAAGCAACTTAGCTATCTTGGGGGGCCAACATTGTGGTTATTGTTACTATAATTCATTGTCATCCACGAACATCCAACTTCTCTGATCGAGGCTATGTGTCGCAGGGCAATCTCAATCTAGACGCAGGCGCGGAGTCAAAGGACAGATTAGAGCGACCTCAATAAAACGACCCCACCATAAATGATGGTCAGGTGGAATTATTTGGAGCTGCAGTTCCAGCGAACTAAGTGCATATATATATATAACCATAACAGTAATAGGGGTTATCACAACTTATGGGCGTCATTATACCAAAGCTACTGTATACCGATTAATACATAACTGCAACTGCACCCCCAAGGAACATGGATCTGTGATCGATGATTTCCCTGGGAATCCCCCATATCCCATTGTATCCCCATATAATCCACGTATGTTATCAGTTATCATCATTTCCCAACAAAAAGAATAGTCCACTGGGGGCGATAGCAACCAGGCTGCCGCTATCGAATCTATGAAGCTTCCCATGCCTCTAGCTGTCTCAGCGGCTCATGGTGCCCCTGGCGATCGGTTTGGATGCCGGCTTGGGGACCCCAAAGGGGGAAAAAACATGTGTTTGGCGATATATTCTGGTTGGTGGTTTGGAACATTTTTTATATGGGATGTCATCCTTCCCATTGACTTTCATATTTTCAAGATGGTTAAAACCACCAACCAGTATTTCTTGGATAGGCCACGAACAGTTTCAAGAATAAAAATCGTAAAGCATGATACGAGTCATACTTGATGGTTTGTGAGGGATTATGATAATTCATTGTGGGGACCCCTATAAACCTTTTACAACTGGGGAAATTCCACCTTTGAAATTGGTTGTGATATGCTTGTTGTCCGCTTAAGTGGAACCATTTCCAGGTGCCCCAAACAGTCAGTACATGAACAAAACAAAACAAAGTCGTCTAGAGAATCCACCATGACACTGTAATTTGCAACAGAAAATTGCAATTTCTCAATGCAGAGAATGAATATGATGACAAACCGGACAAACCACTGGAATTTCATGGGCACTATTTAAAATCCAGAATCCAAGTTCGGAAATTATCTGATGACAAATGAGGATATGTAATCATACATGTGTATCAGTCATATGTAGCATGATTTCTCCATTGTATTCCCATGAAATAGTTGGTTGATTCCCCAGACCTTTGTGGATCATTCAACCTTAAGAAACTGGGGCCCAACTGGGGATTATATTGAAACATTAGGGGATTCTACCAGTCAATGAGTTATATACCCAATTGTTGATATTCATAGATTCATAGCCAATCTCTGGCCCCCAATCTGAAATTCTTGAAATCTCGGCTCTACTACAGACATTCCACAAGCAAAAGCACTTCGCAAAAGCACCGTGCTTCGTCCACTTGGGGATTTCCCAGGATTCTGATGACGGGGTCGTCCAACACCTTGTTGGAGTTCGGGAACCTTCTCAACTTTCTGGCGCCGGATGAGTATGACTCCTGGCGGTGTTCGAAAAATTAGGCACCTGATCCATCCTCCCTTTGAAAACGTATCTGGCTTTGAAAACTATGGGGAAAAACAATCAAAAAATGTACTGTAAATTGTAAATATGTTGAACAACAAACGTATTTTTAGTTATTGCGACAAGGAAGCGGCCTATGTTTTGGAGGTAGGGGAACCATTTCCAGACAAACCCATCTGCACAATGGTTGGTGGTGTCATTTTATCTGCTTGCAACCCTATTGGTGATGATGAGCCCAATGCTCTTTTTGTTGGGTGGGTCAAAGCCATTAGTATTGAACACACATGAGCAAGAGAGGTTTACTAGGGGCTTATTAACCACCAACACCCACTAAGAAGAAAGAATCTCAACCATATATTATTGGGGGGGTTCGTGAAAAATCATCGATGGAAACGAGTGCCACTGCTGGCATGGAGGGTTTCACAAATGCTTCGACCTCTTACATTCACGGTTCTACCTTTTCCAGGGAAACCTAGCTGGGAAAGTCTGATATTCATTCCCCCCAGATGGTGTTCTGTGTAGCTTTTGACCCATCCCCAAATGATAGCGGGCCCCATTTTCTCTACATATCTGATCCACAAAGTACAAGATACACTTTCATTGTGCGATCAACAGACATTGTTTGTTTGTCAGAAGAACACCTTCTTGTTTCATCAGGGCCGCCAGATTTTCCATTTGGTCAAATCCATGCGTTAGCACAGGTACCGGCAAGTTTCAATCTCACATCGCTGTCTTTGCGAATTTTTGTGGTCAATGAACTTCATCTGGATAGGCCTTGTGTAGATGAACAGGTTTCAGCTTAGCGAATGCTAGACAGCAAACACTCTTATCCATAGCAAAATTTGGTATACCAAATATACCATGAACCTACCATTCGGCGATGATTTCGACAATCCATGTATGGTCAGATTGGGGATGGTTTACGCCTTGGTGGTATTGGAATTGTCACATTTTACAGATGAATTCCTTGCGCAGGGTATCTCAGATTGGCCAATTATCCATGAAACAAGGGCAAGAGAACCTGGCCCAGCAGTATCCAAGAGTAGCCCCAGGAAGGTCATCATATCTTCAATGTGTGTTGGTTTTTGTCACCCCATCTAATTGCTTCGATACGAATCCATCACAAACGCCAAGCTGGTTACTAAGCAACAGGCGCCTGTCATAAAATAAAATATAGATTCATAGATCCCAACATGTCTTGGTTGAATCTCCCAGTTTCCTTCATTCTTGGCTAAATCCCCCTTTTCTGGCCACCAGGGGTACTACCCGTCTCTGGCGGTTCAATTAATCAGCAGTTTTTTCAAACTGCTGAGGACATCAATCGCGCAGGGGAGATCGTGGGCGAGTCTGCCGTCACGGACGTGATTATTGAAGATGGTAAGGCTTTCGGGTCAGGTGATTGTTGGATATTGTTGCTACTTCGATGGTCTTTTCATCGACTGGGAACCATTGGGAACCCATGGATCTAGGTGGGGATATACTGATAATGTTGGATCCGGATAAGTAGCTAGGTTCTCCAAATGGCTAAACAAATCCAAATATGTGTTGCACCCTTGATTTGATCCGGTTCACTGTGGCAATCTGTTCGTGTGGAAAAAAACAAATCGTAGCCTTTTTTTCTGCGCAAAAATATCAAAAATGCTTGTCTCCCTGTCCTAAAAAGATCCGATCTCTTATTAAACCTGCATTAAAGAACAACCGTTCCTTTCTCTATCTCTTTCTCTTCCTATTTCTCATTATCTTCCTTTTCTCTTTCCCTTATTTCACCTTTCATCAAAAACTTGAGGTGCAAAAGGTAGCACAATCAAGATGCTGAACCCCACTCTCTACAAGTACTACCTGCCAGTACAAGTTCACCAGCAAATATAAGTTTTATTTAGATTTCAATTGTCGCCAAAATCCGTGCTTAAATGTATACTGTATGATCAAGTATGATCGTATCTTGAGGAACGGTATTTTGAATTTCAACTTTAAAGCATTCGTAAAGCATTTGTTTTTTTTTAGCGGGGGGCTACACACATTCGTCAGGACGGAACATTACAATGGGAATAATCCTATATAACCAGCAATGTGATACTTGGGTCCAGGAATGGAGGACTTACCTGCAAGACATGGCCTATTTTTTTTCAGCGAAAAGGATGGAATGATTTTCAGCAGTGGATGGAATGGCTCATTTCAGACAACCGCATCATCTATCATAATCTGCAAATCATGGTGTGGAAAATGGCAAATCATGATATTAACCATTATATGGTCATATTTCAATACCAGTATGATATGGAGAGTTGTTTCAGAACACATCATGATATTAACCATGATATTCACCATGATAAAACCAAATACTTGTGGTTGTTGATTATAATACCACTACCATACAATGACTGGTTGGTGGTTTGGAAGCCGTGAATGCCCAAATCACCTACCAGTGGTGCGGCGGTGCTTGCGAATCGAGGGTGGGTTTCGCTGTACTTGGCCATGGGACTGGAGTTACCAGTTGACTTTGGTGTGTGTTTGCCTGGTGATCGTATTAACATGGTGGCCACTTTGAAGTGTTGGGACCCTGGGCATGATGCTCACTGGCTGTCGACTGTTCACAATGGATGTTCATTTCAGGCTTCAGGTTTGTTGGATGGATCGGGTTCAACGTATAGCCTTTTGAATGTGGAATTTCGACGTCAGTTTCCTATCCCTTTGGTGGCAATTGATGAGAAGGCTTCGGTGATCAAACACTATCGTCCTAGCTGGGATTCCCTACATGATGTCATTGAGCTGTGTTCAGGGTTTGGTGGAATGACTCAAGGACTTTTAACCACTGGGTTTAGAACGGTTGCTGCGGTTGATTGCAATGACAAGTTCCTCAAATTGTATTCTTTGCAAGGGGATGCTGACTTGGTTTTGGGGGATGTGAATCATGTTTCAACTTTGCTTGAGCTCCGGAAAGTCTCACGTGGTGCCAGCACTTTGGCAGCGGGGTTTGCATGCCAGCCATTCTCAAGACTGGGCGATGAACGAGGTGGAGAAGATAGTAGATCCTTGTGCCTCAGGGGAATTCTGGCCATTGGATTTTACCTTCAGGTTCATGCAATTGTGTTGGAGTGTGTCCAGCCGGCCGCTCTCAATTCATATGTGCAACAAGAGATTGAAAAGTTCCAAAAGTGTACTGGTTATTTTTGCTCCCAACAAGACTTGCATTTGCAGCAAATCTGGCCAGCACGTAGATCTCGAGCCTGGTGGCTGATTACCTCTCCGCTTTTAGGAAAGATCCAGTTGGATGATTGGCCAAAGCACTTGATGGTGCCCACTGTTCGCCATTTGATTCCAGTTGTTTTGCCTTGGGATAAGCAGGATGAAGATGAATTGACCTTGACTGAGCGAGAAGTGGAAGCTTTTGGGGTTGGTACTGAAACTGTTCACAAGTATTTGCTCAATTTCGATGCATGTGCACCCTGTGCATTACATTCGTGGGGCTCCCAATTGCATGCATGTCAGTGTGGATGTAGAAGTGCGGGCCTATCATCTCACCGCTTACGTGAAAAGGGTTTGTTTGGATGCCTGCTGCAATCATGTCCCACTGAATTGCGAGAAAGCACATATCGACACCTCCATCCAAATGAGGTAATGATGTTGTGTGGTTATGATCCAATCATTGACTTTGGTCCAAACCCCCGTTTGACCCTGGCAGCCGCAGGTCAGATGGCAAGCCCCTTGCAGACAGCATGGGTATTCGCAACATTGAAAGAACGAATTGTGCAGATGCAGGGTGCTGACCTGCAATTCAAAGCTGAGGCTCAGTTGCATGCTTTCATGACATGGTTGGTAATGCGAGGCAGGCAGGTTTGGCCAGCAGTCCAAGAGCTGATCACTGACTCCAATTCGCTGTCCCTTGTACAGTTTTGGCAGTCCGTATCTGCCTTTTCCATGCATGAGCTGATGCATCCGCAGAGATGGCCAGATATCCCTCCAGTCACTTTGACTATTGCATCTGTTTTGGATCACATAATTCGCATGTCCCAGGCGTTGATTGCACATGTCCCATGTCCTTTGCCTGATGAAGATGCTGCCATGATTAATGATGATGAAAATGGTATTGAAGATGAGCCAACACCGTGGATTGATCCGATTCATGATGATGCTTTGCTTTTCCCTGCACCTTCAGAGACCCAGTGCATTGTTTTTCTTGCCAAGGAAGCAACTGAGCCGATTCAGGTGTCAGTGAAAGCAGGTGGAACTGTGTCCGAGCTCATCCGTGCCCAAGAAAAGCTGATTGGTCCCATGCAGGTTGAGAAAGTCTTTGCTCAAGATGGTGGTGAAGTCTCTCTGTCCCATGCACTTTTGCCTGGTCAGGTCTTATGCATCCAATGTACAGATGTCTTTCAAAGCAGTCCCAAGCCAGAAATGCCGAGCCCAAGAATGAATGATGAATCACATGATTGTCCCTTGGAGTGCAATGTGTCCGTGTCCGGTCCTGTCTGTCCGCCTGATGGAGTCTTGCCTGTTGTAGCTGACATTAGCCCAACAGTCCCATGGACATGTTTGCCCCATGCAACGGAGAAGCAGATGGTTGTTGAGCCTCTAGTGAAAGAGGTGTTGAAGCCTCCAGCCGTGCAGCCCAGTGCGATGGTCAATGATTCATGGATTTCCGCAGCGCCCCTCCTTGGCCTTCAGTCTCACCAGTTTCTCAACCTGAAAGTGCCCAGTGTGGTGGTCAACAAACATCTGGAAGCGTTGAGAGGGCAGGCTATTTCAGCTGCTGACCGAAAAATCATCTTGGAACATCAGGAAGGAATGTGGGCTGAGGATGAATTTGGTCACCATATTGGCTTGTTGTTGCAGCTTTGCGAAAATCACAATTTTGCCCCTCCGATCCAAACTGATCGCAATCACATGATGCTGGACCCTTTGCTTTTGACAGGCTGGGCCAACCATGGTCGTGAATGGAGTCATGCCTGGACCCGAAATCACCCTGAAATCAAAAAGGAAGGGGTCATTGTCATTTCTGCCTGTATGATTGATGGTCATTGGATTCCGGTGGTTTTGACCCCCAATGGAGATGTGCTGCAGTTTTGCACATGGGATGCTCCAGCGCACAGTCATGATGCACTCAATGTGGTAGTTGAATCGATTGCACATGGGCTGGGGTTCTCACAAGTGTCAATTCTGCGACACCAGAGGATCTTCTTTTCCTCTGACAAATGTGGAGCCTTGGCAATGGCTTTCCTGCATCACACGGTTTTCAATTCTATGCTCCCAACATGTGCTGAAGAGGCTGACATTGTACATGATCGACTGCGAGCAGTCTTCATGCGTTTTGTTGAGGGATCGACATTGTGTCCACGACCATGGGTATGGGGAGCAGGTGACAGGGAGGATGATGCTCCATTTGCAAATGAACCGGGCTGCTCTTCGACAGCATGTCCCGGACCAGCACAGAGACCCATCTCTGAAACCAGTCATTCCCACCAATGCATGCCTAATGAGCAAAGAATGGATCTCCTGAGGGAGAAAGGAAAACAATGGGGTGATGATGAGATCCGATTTCATGTGCGACATTTGCTTGAACACCCGAAGAATGTCACAACCAATACGTATGCAGTCATACCTGGATTTGTGATGATGGATCCGTTGCTTCTTTCGACTTGGGAGACCATTGGACCTGCCCTGTGTGAAGCTTGGTGTCGGCGAAACATGGAGGTTCCAACCAAGGGATTTCATATTGTCGCTGTTTTCATTCATGCTGAGCACTGGTTTCCAATTTGGATTGTACCGCATGGTGTGACATTGGTTGCGCATGTCATTGAGGATGCACTGGTGGATTATCAGATCTTGCAGCCCATGCTGGCAGTACTGCGTGCCCAATTTGCTTTTCATGCGAGTGTGTTGCATACCATTCCCAATTTGTTGCCGCAACATGACATGTGTGGAGCTGCTGCCATCGCTTTCCTGGGCCATGTCATGGTGGGTGCTGATCTGCCGCAGACACTTGAGGACCTTAGCGATTATCATGCGAACATGAAAGCTGCTTTTGTCCAAGCCTTGTTTGCAGGTCAATGTTGTATTTGTCCGGTTTCCTGGGGTCTTGGAATTGCCAGTGGTCTTGTCCAGTCTTTGTCTGATGAGCTCCAAAAGCATGGTGTCCCAGAGTCTTTGTCCAACCAACGTGCACAGCAGGCCATTCGTGCGATCGGGTCTGATCAGATTCAGCAGGCCATGAAGGCCAAAAATGTGTGGAGGTCTTTGAAAGCACTGGGCAACAATGCGAGATTCCAGTTTATCTTGCCCACAGAGCTGGTTGAGGCTGCAGCCAACAACAAATCTGCGCCGGTCGGCAAACGTGCCAAGATGTCTGGACCCAAAGTTCGCCCAGTATTGCCAGAAGCGGTTG